ATCCAGAAAACAAAGTTAGTGAAAAGGTTATGGCACAGGTTTTGTAATCAGAATCTGCTCTAGGGTCAAGGCACAGCAAAAGGGTGTCCAGACCCTTGGATTAGAGAAGCAATGGGCCTCACTGCCCATTGTGCATGAAACACGGGCACAAATAACTGTCTTGCTTCCAATAAAGCCTTTGTCTATTCATCCACTGACTGTAACTAAAGTAGACTGTCACTCCTGATCTGCCTCTCATGGAAAGGATGGTTTCTCTTGGTCAACTTCAGAACCCACAAGTTAAAAACCTCATCATTTCTTGACAAACAGGTTTATGAAGCTCCTGTGAGGAAATGTGTATTGGCTGTGGTTTGGTTCTTAAAGAAGCAGAAAGTCTGTTTCATGCAAAGACAGCAGCAATGAGAGAATTGCAAAGAATAAGGCAAGAAAAATAAAGGCCTTGGGTTTTTTTCTGAACTGAAGGTTTTCAGAATCTTCCTGGAAGCATCAGCGCAATGCTAAATGCTGAGGGAAAGGTGAGGCTTACAGTCAGGATGGTTCGTGTCAACACTGATAGATAGTCCAAGCCTTTCTTCCCATGCAAAGGGCACAGAAGGGGACAGATAGGAGGACCCTTTGCAGCCTCATCTGTTCAGTATCATCATTTAAAGCGACAATCCAGCCCAAACATGAATGAACTTTTGCCACCTGGTCCTCAGAGCTGCAAAGGTATCATTGGGGTTTCCTGTCTGGGGCAGATTTACTCTCCTAGGTGTGGTGGAACTGATGCAGGTAACCCTTCTGCAAGCCAGCTATACACGCTTTTGTCTTCTGTAGGACATCCCTTGCTTTTCACTGTCAGATAGTTTAGGTATCAGGGGAGGAACAGTGAACTTTTAATTTGTCTGATGCTCAGTAATAAATCAGGGTTAAAAGAGACTCTTGAAGGAACATCCTAAGAAAACCAAGAAAAATGGTCAGTCTCTGGGATAGGTTACTTAGTCCTTCTCGTGTTTCAGAGGGACAATCAAGAGAAGTATGTAACCCAACAGCTATTCAGAAGTTCAGTGAGCGGGCAATCTCAGAAAATCCAAAATCATCGGGTCTCTCTGATGTCAGTAACAGGCTATGGATTTCAGTGTGAGAAGGGTTTCTTTCTGTAGTCCCACATAGGCAGGGAGACATCCCATGAGATGTACATGTGCTTTAGACACTGTTTCAGAGAAAGCAAGCTGGTGTTTCGTGTCCACAGGGCTATCATGTGAACTCCTACGATTTGGTTTTACATTGCCATTGTAATGGTTTAGGATTCCCAATGTGAATTCCTATAGAGGAAGTATGCTAAACACGTCAGATTAAGCCAATCAAATGCTAAACTGGAACATTCTGGTGAGGCACAGAAGAGCGTACCATGGATAGAAATTGTAGAGAGGTGATATTCTCTGTCTTGGGAATAGAGGCCTATTTTAATAAAGAAAACAAAACACCTATTTAGGGCTCTAACCCCATGTTTAGACATCGAAGAACCACCCTGAATGTCAGTTGTGCTGAGCAGTCAGCATCTCACTGATTTTGCAGAGATGCAGAGGCTCCAAATACCTACAAAAAACTGAATATCTGTTCCATTGTCTGAATGTCATCTTAGCAGATTAACTTTGACCTCCTGTAACAACAGAAGTCTTAGTAGAAACGAAATCAAAAATTCCAAGGACAAATGCTGCACTCATCAGGATTTGCCACTTTCATTCATTCATTCTTTCATTCATTCACTGCAGCTACTGACCACTTATGAAAATTGCTGGTAATGTTCTGAAAGCAGAGTTTACTCACATGGTGGCGAATCATATGGGAAGTGAGGAGTCTACTGCAGAGCAAAGCAGTTTCCAGAAGTACACTTGGCTCGTGCAGCTCCACCAGATCAGGCTCAGGTCCTTGGTAATACCTCACTGCTGGCTGTGTAGGTCTGCCCGGCAGCACCAACCCCAGCAGAGGCTGGCCAAACACTCAAGCCCATCCTCCAAGGGTGCGGGTGTATGGTTCTCATTTGGGCTTCTCTAATTATTTTTCTCTGTTGTTGTCTGCTTTGACACAATGAGCAAGTCTGATAGGGGGCACGGGGAGCTCCCTGCATCTTTGTTACAGAGGGGGAAGCAGCAGTGTTCCCCACTGTGTAACAAGGACATACGAACATGAATGAGAGAAGACAGCTCAGAGCAGAAAGGAATCTCAGGCTGGTTATTCCCTGGGTTAAGGGGGTGGCTGGGAGATGAGCAGACCCCTGTGCAGAGCTGATCCTCCTCCCATGCTCACCACTGCTGCACTCTTTGACAGGGCACTTTTCCAGGTTTCCTGTGTCTGTTGGATAAACAAAAAAAGGTGGCTCAGTTGCCACCTTTCCAGCAGGCAGCCTGAAGAGACAAGGCACTTCTCTGTTTCCCAGACCACTGGGATTCTTCTCTGTGACTGACCTATATTAGTGATAAGCTTCATTCGTTCTGGCCTGCACTCTGCTCTCCCACATGGAGCACATGCACTGCTCCTCCCCCTCAAACAAACACCTTTACACATCCAAGGACATTGTAAAAATAAAATGATCACAACCTGGCCCTCTGGGAACCTCGGTTTTACAGTTTGTCCCGCTCTGATGCCAACAGAATCCACAACCCAATTCTAGAGAGACAGACAGTGAGTGAGGGAAAGCAGGCAGACAGGCGCAGACAGGAGGACACTGAGGAACTGGGGAGAGATAAAAAAGAGCAGAAGAAAAGAAACGGGGCAACCAGAGGGAATAAGCTGCAACAACAAGGGGAGGCATGTAAACTAGGAGTCTAGAACACAACACAGAAAGGGGGTTGGGGTTACAGGGAAGAGTAAGAATTTTAAATGATAGAAAGTTGAATGAAGAGAGAAAGGAGGAGATGAAAAAAGGCAGAGAAAAGAACAGAAGAGAAAAGAAATGGGCAAAGGGAAAGGGGGAGGTCGACTCAGGCAGCAAAGCAAGGTGGTGTCTATTACATGAGGCAGTAGAATTAAGAAGGTGCCTGTGAATCTGAGCACTGCTTTTTCATGCCTCTTGTTCCATTGTGAGTACACTGTGAGGAAAAGGGCACGAGGAAGGGGGAGAAAAGGATAGATAAATGCCTCAGCTGTCATCTTAAACAGCACCTAGCAGTCAAGCAGGTAAACTGGAAAGAAGCAGTCCACAGGTTGCAGATGCTCAGGGTTGCATTGCAGTTCAGCAGGCAGGAAACCGTCTGCACTAGCACAGTGGCATTTACACTCCCAGGTCCACTGGGTCTCTCTGTGTGCTTGCAGTGAGCCCTGCACACATAAAAATGGTTCTGTTCAGTACTGAGGAATTGTGCTCTGATCTCTGCCCTGCATCCTCTCTCCGGTCTCAGTAAGAAAACCTCAGCCACAAACAGGAGTGCTGTTAGTCTCCCTCCTTCCCACACGAATCCCCCTGCCAGATCCCAGTTCTTGTTTGCTCTGCAAGGGCTGTCTTGCCTCTCTTTTCCCCATGGTTCATCTTTACCTTTGCTCTTTTGTTCCTCTGCTTTATCTCTCTCCTCTTTCCTTGTGGCTCTTCTTCCTTACTGCCAATCATTCAGCTCCCCTTACACAGGCCTATATAAACACGCCCCAACACACACACATATACACACTATCTCCATCTCTGTAGTTATACTTACCTATTGCTGTAGTACCTAGCTTATACACATCTCTTCCCCACAGATAATCTATCTACCTCCTCACCACACACCTGACAAATCTGTGTTTCTTTCCTTCACAGCCTTTCTCTTGCTGTCCCCCAACCAGTCCATTTCTGTGTGTCCATTCTCCCCAGTTCTTCTTCCCTCTCTACAATCCATTCCTCTTTCCTTCTCCCCCACTCTGCCCATCTGTCTCCACAATTTTCTCCAGCTGATACACGTGTACCCCAGTCCCTCTCCCATTCTCCCCCCCCCTTTTTGCACATTTCATTTCTTTGTGTCTCCTACACACCCAGGCCCACACTTGCTCTCTCCCATACTGAGAGGAGGCGGCAGCAAAGAATTTGCTGCTGACCGCTGCATTGCTAGGAGGCAAACACATGGCCGGCCTTGTGCAGGCCAGTTTCTGCCTGAGTGCCCCAAGTCACATATCCCCAGCATCATCTCCAGCACTGGGAAAACAGATGGTATAATAAATGAGCACGGTCTGATAAAAGGAGGAAAGGGTGCCTGCCTCAGATGCCCCTCACCCATACAGAGACATACATCCAACATGGGCACAGCTCTTTCGCTCCTATACCAGTCCAGTTTTGTGCCAGGGGAACAAGGCACAAACTCTAGCCTAGCACCAGATGGGGAGGAAAGGGGTAGGAGAGGAGGGTAGTGGATAGAAAGACCAGTGGGTTTTTTTTCCTGACAGCAGCTTATAACCCTGGAAAGAACAGTACATGGAAAGGGGAATCTAAGCAGTATTATGGTAACGGGGAGGGCTGTTCACATGGGAGGTGAGCAGAGTTGTGAGGATGAATAGTTGCAAGACCTTCATGTGCAGAGACAGGAAGAAAAAAAGCAAGAGGCACGGACAATGAAGAGGAATCCTTCCTTCTGCATTTACCTCAGTTACAAGAAACCCACATCGTTGTTTCCAACCTTGCTCCCCGTTTCCAAACCCAGCAGCATTCCTTCCCCAGCTAACATTTTCACGTTCATTCATTGCAGCCTGATCTCTCTCTGCTGACAACAGCACTGAAAAGCATTATCTTAACCCTGCAAGACATCTTTCCTAGATACTCTGTTCTGCTGTCCTTACAAGCTGATTTTATGTCTGATGCTTCAGCTGCAACCTGAATGTCAAAACTTCCAGTTTCGCGGCCCCCGGACTGAAGCCACCAAACATCACAAAACCAAAAGTCCTAGAAATAGCACACAGTGGCCATGCACAGCTCAGTCTGAGAGTGATGCTTCACAGGAATAAAAATAATTTAGCGAAAGCAGAGAAAGGAAACCAACACAGAAAAGAGATTCCTGCCTGCCATGCAGAGCGGAAGGCATTTTTTATTGTATTTAATTTTATTCATGAAAGAGTGATTTCTATCTGCTTTACATTGATCTCATACACATTGTATTTTTCTGTTGCTTGAGGTTAAATACTGATATTCTGGGGAGGTCTGCTGTATGAACTGACTGTGAAGTTTTCATTGTGGGAAGCCGATGCTCAAGTTGTAGTGGGCACTTCTGCTTGCTTGGGTGAGGTGCAGGTTCTCTTTCTGTTCCCTGAATGGATGAACATAATGTAGTCAGGGTGCTGCAGCAAAATTAGGCACAAGTTTTTGTCATTCCCATCCCTCTCCCCCCCAGAAAAAGGAAAGGTTTAAACAAGAATAGATCACCCCACTTTCTGGCAAAAGAAAACTGAGCTAGTGCTGGAACTAATTTGTGTTTTAAATGCTACAAAGACGTGGGGGTAACAACTGTAGGCGTCTATTTCCCTCCACTCAGAAATCCCCTCTGAAGAACTGTACTCAATCTGGATTTCCAACAGCTCTTCACACGCTTCCACTCTGGCAGTCTGATGGTGTCCTTAGCTTACCCTCTCTGTTTTTTATGGCTTCTCCAGCCACTGCTCCTCACAGTATCACAGCTTGCTGTTCTTATCCCGTAGTACTCGTAGGTTTATCATTCTGGATTCTTGCTACTGCCCTATCGAACCCTGGTCTCATGCAACCTTTAACTCATCCTGCCTTGTTCTAACGCATGCCCCACCTCTTGAACCTAAACTGGTGGTTACCATTGACCTTACTCATCGTGGCTCTGAATTCCCCAAACTGTCCTTGGCCCCAAGGTCTTCACCCTGAAAATCTCTGATCAGTTATTAATTCTTACCTGCCCTCCCACCTGCAGCATTACCCAGCTCTACCCTGTATCCTCATTTCCCCTCAATGGCTCATGCAAAAATTACTTTTCCTCCCACTTTATTTCCATACATCACTCCACAAGCTGGGAAAAGCCTTAGGTGTTCCCACCCCTCCAACTCTGCCTCAGCAAAACCTTTGGGCTCTTCATGAAGAGATACAGACCCCACTTTTTCCTACATATTCCTATTCCCCTATTGCTCCTGCTTGTCCCCTCTTTGGGACAAAGCAGCTGATAATTTCTGCCCTTACAGCTTTCTGCTTGCTGCCCCTAACTTGAAGCTCTCATATTGTATATTTTTCTAGTACTTGTGCAGAAAGATTACAGGCTCCACATTTCTCCAATTGATGCAGATCTGGCTGGAGGGAAACTCATCAAAAGTGACCCCATCCCTGACCCCAGCTTGACATGTAGGCTCTGTCACTTTTCCCTTTTCAACGTTGCCAGATTTGGATTTGATCTCAGAGACCAGGAAAGAGAGTGATTCCAGGCTTCTCTTGACAAACAGCTCTAGGGGAGGAAATATGTGAAGCTGTGACAGAGGAATGAGAGAAAGACCCCCAAGGAGTAAATCAAACAAACAAAACCAAACCAACACCAAAACTCCAAGTCTCTTCTCGAGAACAGCCAGTATCTGTGAAAGTTACACTGCAGCAAGCTCTAAAGAGCCAAGATCAGGCTGCCAGGATTCAACTGGGGGTCTTCTGACAGAAAATTACACTCTAGGCTGAGCAACTTCCCCATCTCTCCGGTGACTTGGATTGGGAATAACAACAGCTAAAGAGCCCTGAAAAGAGTTGAGATCGGGTAGCAATCTTCTTTCTCCCTCCCCCAAGCATTGCTGTTCCGGGTCAGCAGAGCCAAGGGCAACTGGCACAGAAGACATTGTTCTCTAGGCAAGATGACAGCAGGAGGAGGAAATAGGATGAGAGCAGCACAGAGATGATGTGCCTTTAGGCTGAGAGATGTTGTGGGGGCCAACACGGCCCTTGGAAAAGCTCCCTCTCAGACTCCACCTCTGCTCCAGAAGGTCCTAGAAGTCCCTTAGCCCCAGCTTCCCTGGAGTACCAGCGGCAAGACAGGAAAATTACTTGCTAAGAACAAGAAGTGCGTATTCTCCATTAAGAAGTGGATATGATATACAAAAAGGATTGACAACAAATGCATGGGCAGGGTGGGGAGGGGGGCATCACACAGGTGTCAAGAATAGGAATGTCTTTCTGCTGCTAGGAGATACTCTGCCATTGCACTGCTGGCCTCTTGCAGGCAGAGGAGACAACTGCAAACAGTTGCCACCTGAACATCATAGATACAGTATTTATTAAAAGCAGAGCAGAGCCTTGAGCAGGGTATGGACCCCCATGGATCTGTTTAAGCACCAGTAGAAAGCAGTTGCTGCCTCCAGAACGGAAACGCAGCATTTTCCCTGCTGTCAGCACCTGCATCAGGCTCCTTGTTTCTCTTGAGATACAGCCCTTAATTGGGATAGATTGTATGTGTTCTGCCCTAGCCCAGCCCAGCTCCCGGTTTAATTGCTAGTTTATGACTTAGCCTGTTTTGTGCTTTCCACACTACTTCTTTCCCCACTTAATCTAATAGAATTATAGAAAGTATTGCTGGGAGGACCTCAGGAGGCCACACAGTTTATCCTTCTGCCCCAAGGCAGTATTTCATTTTCAACAACATCATGTGTCTTTTGCTATCAGGTCAGATCGGTCCAAGATGTACAGTGGGTAAAGAAATGAAGCTTACCCAGGGGAGCCAATTGGCATAAAAGACTAAATCCAGCCCTTTAAGTCACTGGAGTTATATCAGAAATAACCCTGGTCAAAATGGTGTCATTTATCAGATCAGTTTTCTGAAAGATGGCCTTTCTTAAGTTTTAAGTCTCTACAGAAGAAACTGTTCTGACAGCCCCATTTCAGTATATTTAATGCTTTATTATGAACAGCAGTGACCACTCTATTGTTAAGACTGAACAGATCTTATCACAGTATGATCAGCTTTGAAATTCCTATTAACTCCCACAATAAAACCTAATCTTTCTGGAGTTTTATATCCTGCATTTCACTCCAGAGCAGAATATGCCTGGCAAGACAAAACCAAACCATTAAAGCATCTTTAACATGACAACTTTACACAGACAAATTTCCAGTGAAATTTCAGAAAGTCAGCTTTTTAAGGCTCTTTTTTTCCAAGACAATTTGACTAAAAATTCCACTTCTGTTTTCTTTCATCTATTAAACTCTCTAAGAAGAAATGTCTTGCAGCCTTGGGAATAGATAATGCAGAAATTAGAAGGGTAAAAAAAAAAAAAAAAATCAGCTGGTGATGTATCAAGCTAAGTAAAGCAGGGCACAAGTATAACAGGGATTCTGTGCAGCAGAACCACAAGGACCAAAGGAAAGGTAAGAGGGAGGGACTCCCAGGAGAAAAGAATGTTTTTGTCTAATCAAACAAGCAAGCAGGAACAGGAAGGACAATGTATCTCTGGAAAACAATTAAAGGCTTTTTTCGTTTCCTCCCACTTCTTTTGAAATTTCAGTTCTGATTGAGCTGGGTCTCCTCTGAGTTGTAACACCCATGCTGAGCACCTGCAGTACTGCACAACTGGACAAAATAGGGGAGCTGTAACATGACAAGAAGCTTCCTGGTCAGCAGACAGCTTCCTGCCTTTATCCTATTCTTCTCCACAGTGTCTGTAATTCAGAGGGATGCTAAGGCTATAAGCAGCAAACATGAATTCACACTCTACAGATGTGGCCACAACAGTTACTGAACATAGTAAGAGAAACTTAATAATGGCCCAGTCTGTTAACTCAGCCTGCTCACCTAGTTGCTACCCTAAGCTCCTTCAGACACAAAACTGTTTTCCACAGCATTCCCATATTTGGCTCCCATGTCCTATACCCACTCCTCACTACTAGTATCTACAACAAGGTCATGTATAAGCTAAGAAAATAGCAACAAGCATCACCTTCACCATGATGGTATTATATAGTACATTAGCCAGGAAGGACAATATATGATGCTTTTAAAATGCATTTGGAAGGACTGAGATGATTATTCTTAAACATACCACTTTGAAGGACATTAATTTAGTGCTTGAAATAGTCCTGCAAAGGCAAGTTAGGAAACATGCTTTAGACACAGCCTTTTTTCTAATTCTAGTCATGGCCTGTGAGAAGAGGGAAAGGGGCAGTGGGTGAATCCCTACTGCTAGCTAATTAGATCATACATTTCCTCTCTTAGGCAATACATCTTTCCCTGCAAGGGATGCATTTTTCTTCACTAACCTCTCAAAAGCAGCTCCCCTATAAATCACAAAGCACCACTGCAAGCATTCCCTTAATGAGATCCTCCAGCTTTTGCATTCATTTAATAAAACAGTATTTACCCATCTTCATCTTACTGGTGCATTTAGACTGTTTATTTGAAGTTATGGGAGGTCCTTCTGGTACAGAGAGGTTGAACTCCCTGGTTAAAGACTGCATAGGATTCATTTCATCAGCCATTCCCAAGGCATTCATTCCCCCTATATACCACGTCACAGCTGGCATACACACCTGGCATGCTATTTTCAATATGAAAAAGTATCTGTCTTGTGCTGTAATCACATCATCAATAGAACCAGGGGAAATGAGCTACCAAATCAAATCAAGCCTTCTTTAGTTCTTTAACTAGATCAGCACAGCATCCAAAATAACTTTCATTCTTAACAGTCTTAATATTCTTAACAGTCAAAGGTATCAGCACCTGCAGACGAGACTCTACTCAGCCCATGGAAATCAATAGACACCTCCCAGGGTTAACAAGACAACCAATGTAAGATACAAATGCCAGTAATGCTAATCCAACTCAAAAAAGAGTGAGTCTTCTAGTTACCCTAAGCCCACAAAGGAGTCCTTCCTTCTTCAGAGGAAGCAAGAGCTTTCCCAGGTGGTTCTGTCATTTTTTGAGGTGGCTTCTAGCAAAAGAACTTACACATTTTCTTTTCTTTTGGGCTGAGCTCCTACTTAACCTCTTTAGCTGGTATTCATTCTCCCTAGTTAATTCCCAGCATAAGCACACAGTTACCAGTGAAATAAGCCCAGCTGCTTTTCCAGATTCTCTAAGTGCTTCATAAACTCTGCTATAACATCTGCAGCCGTATTTCTTACATTCAATCCAATGTACTTTTCCTAGCACTGGGCATAAATGTGGTTATAAAATGAATTTATAAAAGTCTTGAAACACAGATTCCTGAAAAGCCTGCCTGAAAAATCACTGTAGCACTTATGAATACAAAATTCAGCCTCTCATGTCCAAGGGAGGCTGACACAATCTGGGAGAAAAGAAAGTTACAGTTTTGAACTTCTCAGTGTTAGGCTGTTACAAGGCAGTACCTGACTATGGGTGCTTTCATATACTGCATTAGCAAAAAGACTCCTACACATGCAACATCAGTACTCCCCACAGAAAAGCAGTTCTCTATCGGCTTTTACCCTTCCTGATAAAAAACTTCTAGCCAGACACGGCTGAGTTACGGTAACTCAGCTGGGCTGTCTTTCATTTTCTTAGTCCTGTTTCCACTAGCAACATCAAAATCGTGGTCTTTAATCCCAAATTCAAGGACAAGCAGGGAAAGTTTAACAACAGAGAGGACTCTCATTCTAGTCTGAGCCTACTAAGAGCATGGTATTGCTGAGTTCAGCTGATAAAAAGAAAAATGACATAAAACCACGTAAGATGAAAAACACATGAAGAAAAGAGAATTTGTTTCAAATTTTGCACTCGTATTTAGAATAAAAGAGATATTCTTGCTATCTGACCCCATTTTGCAGATCAGCCAGTTTGGATATGCCTGTAGGAAGTCCTGCTCGCCTCCAGAAGTAGCTCCTTGAGAAACCTTGTGACCTGGGACCAGCAGAGGGCACTGCGTTACCAATTGATAGCGGTGCAGATGCAAGACAGTTCCTACCAAGCACTGAAAGTGAGCCACGTTGAAGAAAAGAACCAGATTCTGGAAGTCACAAGCACATATTAGTCATCAGCATATCAGTCCTACAACTGATAAGGGTAACGCTGTTAAAACAGGCCTCGAACACTGGATACTCCTAGAAACACACCTAAAACCAGCCTAGTTCCCACATATCTCGGTCTCCATGTGTTGATTTTAGGGCGTAGGCCTCCTACTGAAAATGCTTTTCAAGCATCAGGGCTAAATCAGTCCTGCCCTGCAACATATGCTGGGTTGCTTAAGTTGAAAAACATCCTGTCAGCTTCCTCTCTCCTTCTCCAAACCTCTAAATCCTCCCTTGTAGCAGCAGGAAGTCTGTTCAGGGAAGACACATGACAGTATCAAAGCAAAGAGCTGGTTATTTCCATTCTGCCCTCCCCTTTTACTCCCCGCCTCCTCCAACCTAGCAGACTTTCAGTGAGTACAGAGCCAAGTTAGAGGACATGAAAGGAATGCTGAGGTAGCAACTGCAGAAGACTGTGTTTCCACTTGCTTATTTCTAGTTTATTTTGAATTACCAGAAGATGACCATGAAGAAGCAAATAGCTCATCTCTTTTCTTCACTCTGTATTCCACCCTGCAGGTTTCTGGGCATTAGAACAAGCTGCGAGGATAAGTAAGTCATGCCAGTCACAGCCCTCAAGCTAGTGAGTGAAAAGTTTCCACTTTCTCTTTGTACAGTTGGTGGAATGACTTTGCCAGCATGTGGAAAGGGGTATCAAAATTTTTCATCTCCTTCTGTAAAGAAATAAGAAAGTTGTGAATCACAGATGGAATAAGCATTTGACTATTTCTGCTCTGCTTCACAGAACACATTAAAATTGAGGGTGAGTTAGATGACAAACAAGTGGAAGGAGACACCAATTATCTTTCTTTACCTGAAAGAGAAGATAACTTTACAAAGACCCACTTCCACAGATGGTGAAAGGAGCAGACACTCACCACTGACATCTCACAGTATTCCAAGCCGTGTTTCTCAGCCCACTCCTGTGCTTGTTTCTGGTCCACAACTCGACGATCAACTAGGTCTGTTTTATTCCCCAGTAAAACACCTACAGAAAAAAACAACACAAAGGAAAAACAACTGCCCAGAAATGCTGACTTGCTAGCAATAACTGCTGGAACAGGTCTAGAAGTAGCTGAAAAAGTCAGAGGCACAGAGAATAGTCTAGAAGTATCTAGAAAAAGTTCCACAAAGGAAATATATTAATACCTTATCTGCTTTTTGATAAAAACAAATAGAGAAGACATGCCCTACATCTCAAGGGGGAAAACTGCTGTCACAGAAAAGGAGAGCAGATAACAAGAATCACCACACACTTTCTCACCTGGGATGTGCATCCCAGCTGCTTGAGCCTTCAGCTTCTCCAGCCACTTAGCACAGTTGTTGAAAGATTGCTCATTAGTGATATCATACACAAGGCACAGGACGTTGGGTTGCTCCCACTGCACAGCAAGAAAGGAACATTGTCAGCTCTAATGAAACTGATGTGGTCAACAGCCAGTCTGTAAACACGGCAAACACAGATGCTAAGACAAAAATAAAAAGCCTAACATTCAGGAATCCTATGCCCTGGCTGTGGTTTCACATTTCAGTGGAGCTGACTAAATGGATAGCTGGCACTGGGAGAGGTGGCCTTGCTCTCTTTCCCCATTCCTGTCTGCACGGTCCTGCTCCTTTACTTGTATCAGCTCTGGCACTCATCTGATCCCTGGGGAAGCTGATTCTGCATGCTGAATAAGCGCAAAATTAATCCTAGAGAAAAAAAAGTAGAAAGGTTTTCTTCCAGTTTGAGAAGCTGAGCCAGCTTCTAGAGGGGTCTCTTGTGAACCAGACCTAGTGCAAGGGCAAAAGTGGGATTGCCTCTTGTACAGCAATGAATTTTGTTAGTTTTCTCATTAGGTTGACTTAGCCATCTTATGAAACCTTGCATCAATTAATTGATTCTACCCCTCAAAGTGAGATGACACAACAGAGAACTGTACAGGTAAGGATACAAATGCATGAAGGAAAGAAACAAGGGCAATATTATGCTCAAGGACAAGAATAAGTCCTGTTGGATCAAACACACCTCTGAAACACACACACACAAAAAAAACAACCACTGTTGGAGCAGCAGCAAAGTAGATGTTTTTGTAAGAAATAAAAATAACCTCAAGCAACAGTACACAGAGAATATCAGTTAAACATCCCTTTATTATTTATTTATTTATTTTAAGAAAAGTGAATGACTTTCTGCTTTCCTTCCTCTGGAAAGTATTCTAGTACTTTTACAAGTTTTAGACAGGAAGAACAGGATGCATTGGCAACTGAAGTAATTGCTCCCATTTACACTGAAGACAAAGTTTGCTACATCTGCCAGACTGGGAAGTTCAGATCTTCAAAGCAAAAGTGCTTCTTTGGAAGAAGAGGACTGTTACATAAGACTTACCAGTTTCTCCAGCACTTCAGAAAATAGATCTTTTCCTGCAGAGTCAAAAATGAAAAATTCCTGAAAACGGAAGCAGAAAGAAGGCTCTTGCCAGGAAAATGCAGTGTAGGGAAAGAGTTTAGAAAGTAAATACCAGAACTTGTAACTCCTGCATTTTGTTCAGTACAACAGTGTCATGTCCCTAAGGGACAAGTTCCCCGCACTGAGAACACTCTGGTTCAGATAGTATGAGAAAAGAAATAGTTATTTTTTATGTATAATCAATAAAAGAGTTACCTCCAAGCCCCAGGTCTTGTTTCCATCTCAACTGGAAACAGAGTATGTGGAGTGGGACAGTAACCTGCACTATTTATACAGAATATGTGCAGGTTGGTCTACGTTCCACTAGTGGGAATATATGGCATTAAGGAAAAACAGTAATTAAGTTATAACTCCTGTAGTTCTAAGAAACATGAACTAAACCTGCGTGTCCTAAAAGACAGAAGAGAATCCTAACAAAGATGGTAACAGCTTTGGTTTCAACTGTCATGTTGGGACACAAATATGTAAACCTCACATTTTTAAGATTAAACTAAACCTGGAGTATCAGCAATTGTACATGACCAGCCTCATTTCCTTAATGCAAACTAATGGCCCTATGACCATGCAGAGCAATCTTCCGTCAGAGTGAGACTGAAGAGAAGTTTGAGCTCTGGATGTCTCTTTCTGACCTAATTTATGCCACATAAAAACTCACCACGCTATCACTTGTCTCTGGAATTGATACAGCCTTCACCAACAGTTCTATGCCCGTTGTCTGTCAAAAAGAATCAGGAAAACAAGGATCAGAAGAGTTTTTAAAAGCCTGTCCAACTGCATACCAACTACGCATTGGACTGAGGCAATTCTAGTGAATCATTACAATCCCATCAAACAAAGACTGCTGGGAACTCAGCAATACTGCTCACAGCTCTGGTAACACACTCCTACCTACATGTCAAAGCCGCGTAGATTTGCTCGGATGGGGGGAAAAAAACAGAGAACCACCAACATCCAGAGATTTGCTTATATACAGCCAAGAGTATTAGCTGAAACGTGCAGGGCAACATTCACTATCTTACTGCTGCTGTAAAACACACCGTAGAACATTCTGCACCAACCATGTGATCAGCTAACATATGGGACTGAGGTTATTTGTGCCTCTTCCACCTTTTATCTCATTCTGCTTTGTAGCTTGTTTGTTTGTTCTATTTCTATCCTTAAATTCTTGTTTCCATCTTTATTTCAATGAATAAATATCTTTTAGTATGGGATTTTTTTTCCTCTACACTCATATTTTCCTTTTTTTACTTTACTTATATTTACTTTTATTTTTATCCTGCTTCTGATTAGTCATCACCATTGATTCTCACACTGAAAGACTGCAAACTGTATCCTCTTCATCTGGGAACAGTTTCTGTAGATTATAATTATCTTGGGGCTATGCAGCACATCTTCGTGTTTGCATAGTGATAAGCGCACTGTCCACACGCACATTTAATAGTTGGAATTAAAAGCTTTCTCCTTCAGCAATGCTTTTTCATAGAGCACTCCCTAAAGGGGGAAGCTCTCTAACACCACAAAAGCTTGTGAAAACATTGGTTCAGCAAGAAAATTACAAAACTAACTGAATTATTCTGCATTAAGTTTCAAAAGCAGCATCTACATAATGTAAAGACAGAATATTCAATTATTTCTCTTCAGAATTCAAGGTGTAAGAGAAAGAAAATCCTGTAAGAACCCCCCTTGCATGCCTTGACTTAAAATCATATTACTTATTTTGTTCTAGACCTTATTCGTTTTCTTATGCAACTTCAAAGACATTTGAGCCTGTTGTATGCTTACCAGTGTGTAGTTCTTCTGGAAATGAGCCCCATCAGTGCGGAACATCTGGGCTAAAGCAGTCTTTCCCACAGTTGGATCTCCTGCAAACCCAAAACCATAAAAGATTTTTATTTTGTCTTGGAGAATCTTATTTTCCCTCAGTTCTGTTACTACCATATGCCACAGGAGTTTGGATACTCTAATTGTACAGGCAAGACAACTGTCACAAGCAGCATACAACAACCTAAAAATTACTACCCATGTGACGAAATTAATATTGCAAATATGCATACTGGTGCTGACATCAAATTTCTGCTCTATGAATGACAGTAAAGGCCTCTCAGTTCAGGGTGAAACTGTTGTTTGTTCTAAAATTCATGTCTACCCTATAGGCTTTACCTAAGAAAAATTCCCAGAGATGTTATCATGCAAAGAAAAACAATGTGATAAGCGAGACTGGGCTGCAGAGGAGGCTATTTCTTCTCCTTAGACTACCCATTTCCCCAGATTCAAATCTGTGTTATATACTGAGTTTAGTGAAGAGACAGGTCATTTATATACTACAAAGCTGCTTAAACTGGTAGCATTCCTCAATGAACTCTTCTTGCTGACCCTGCTAAGAGAGCAACTCTTGCTGACTCAATGCTGCTGGTGGCTCATTAGTTGCATCCTGAGCCTAACAGAAGCAAATGTCACTTGGCTGGAGAGAAAGAGCCTGCTGATTCATCCCTGTATGGAAGGAAAACCAAGGAGCTTTAGTTTTTGCTCCTCTAGAGCAAGCCTTTCTGGTATGGCTTGCACAACACTTCAGATAATCTTGGCAGCTGCCTACTTTGACCTGCTGCGTAAATTCCAATGCACCGGTAGAGAACTGGAGGATTCACGTATGCCCATATCACTCCATGAAAAATATCATAATCCTTGCAAAACAAAGACTTAATGTTCCCAAAGGGCTTTCCTCTCTCCACATACTATCTCACTAACCTGGATATAGTTCAAAGGACAGGAAACACAAAACTAAATACCTCAGTGGTTCTAGCTTTATCCTTAAAGGAATGCTCATGATAGCCAAGCCTGGAATATCAGTCTTTTATATTATGTTGTTAATAAATAAATCCAGAAAGGGCTATATTTTGACCTTATTACAGCTTTTTAGATGCATTAACCAAATGTAGTTCTTGCTTAAACATTTTTAGCATGCTTGCTTACTTTGAGCTGAGTTGGGTTCATAATATTTAGACAGGAAAATCTGGTAAGTCAGCTTGTTTGTTCCCTGATCAGTTCAAGCTTGTGCTGAAGACAACACTCTGTTCTCAGTGGAAGCTATTCTGTATTTCAATAGACAATTAGATTTGTCTTTGTAAAATGAGATAAAGAAGCATCCATTGCTTCAAACCGCAGCAACATCATCCAGTGCAAATTCTCAGTTAACGCGGTGCCTTTCTTCAGTTTGACACCCCCAGTTGTTCTTTCTCTCTTATTTTCCACCCTCTTAGCCCATTACATCACTACACTTTCCCAAAATAAGTTTCCTTGCCCTTTTCATTTAGTTTGGTCTCATCTGCCAGTACTGCATCCCACAATATTTATTCCATCCATATTTCTGTTATTCTGCCAGAAACTGTAGTGTGTCTCTAAAATGCCTGCTACCCCCATCTTTCTACAATGAAAACCTTTTCAGTGTCTCCATAGTCAGCTCAAACAACAGTATCTTTGACTTTGTGTCTGTAAATTACCCTTGAGATAACACAGGAATTGCTTTCTGTTGTCAAGTTAATAGTCTCCCTTTTGTTAATAAAAGCCCTTTCCCCCTGTTGTTCTCTTTGACCTTGGTGCAGATCCCAATACTATGAGCCACTCTATTCTTCATAACCATTTCCATAGGTACACAAGAGCTCCTTGTTTGGTTTCTGATGTTTTTACCTATGTAATTGCATTTTATTGCTCTCTTTAGGTTGTTGTGGTTACCTACCTCTTCTGTCTCTTTCACTAAGTTATTTTGCCTCATTTATTTATTATTTATAATAAAATGTATTTTTAATAATACATGGATATTATTGTAGTACTTAGGAGAACTACATATGGGACAGGACCTTTCTGTTGTTTGTGTTGTGAACAGAATTGAGAAGGCGGCTTCAAACCCACTGAGGATTAAAGCACATAACTGGGTCATCCAAAGAAAACCTGTGTGAATTTAAAATGGTTGTGGAATGGGCCCTTGGTAACACTAAACAACAAAACCTGAAAGACTTAAGCAAAGCCTACATGCTGGGACATGGAAACTTTCAGATTGGAAATGATGTGTAAGTTTCAAATCTAGAAGACAGGCAAGATGCTCATGCTGTCCACAGTAGCTGTCAAAAGAGGTGCAAAGGAGATTAATTCTTCATTAATTCTTTTGCATTTGCCAAAGATCACACCTTTGCTTTGTGTAAGTTGATGGCTAGTTGCTTCTGAGGCTTAAAAAGAAAAAAATAAATAAAAGATTAAAGAAAACGGGTTTGGAGCAGAGTTAAACCTGGGAGTTGTCTGCACACAACAGTTTTATGGATTTGTGCTTCTGGCTGAGGCTGCACAGTGCTCCAGTGTGGGGGCAGGGGAGGGAAGGACAAGCTTTCTTTCTGCAGTGTTAACAGTTAGATGTACTTACTTCCAGCAACTCCATAATCCATCCTGACTAAATAGTTCAGTGTCTTCACCTCACTTTGTTTCAAGTTAACCTCCAGTTTGCACGGGGAAAAGAGACGTCTTTCTGAAGCACACATGCTTAATCCTTCTACTCTTTGGTAAGGCTCTACCTTTCCTCCTCACTCTCAGAATCATCCCTATTTCTGACATGAATTTCCTTTCAGTACAAGGGGAGCCTTATTGCATGAGGCAGAACTCTGCCTCTGCTGTCTACCCTGCTCCCTTCACACTCTCCTCATCCTCAGCCCACCTTCCCACACTGTAAAAATACTCTTTTTCTTTTTTTCTTCTCCTCTCGTTCTTCCTTTCTTTTTCTTTCTTTTGTTTTCTTTTTTTCAGATCCATGCCTTTCAGCTGGCCCGGCTATGCTTCACACCCTCCCTGAGCACATCTCTTGATTCTCCACATACCGTAGGAGAGGATATGCGGTAGGTAACCAGAAACACGGTTTCCACCGTTCCCGAAGGAGCTGAGCTCCCCGCCTCTCCTGTCGCCTCTTCCCCCACATCCTCCGTCTGGGCGACCCCTCGAGGAGGGGTCGAGAGGAGACAGGCCTCCTCCCGATCGCGGCCCGCCAACACCCTGAGGGGGCCCAGGCACCCCAGCGCCGCCCCGCTGCTGGGCTCGCCCTACCCCACAGAGCGCGTTCTAAGCTCCTATAGCCGGCCGGGAGCATGGGACGGGGCGAGCCGGACTCACCTGCCAGGATGCACTTGGCAGCGAGCTTCACCATGGCCCCGGCGCGGGTTAAGACGACGACGGCGGCCACCACCACACTCTGCCTCCCTAGCAACAGCGCGGCCCTAGCAACCGAGCGCCCCGCCTCGTTCAGGAAACGATAGCCCGGGCAATTCGATTGGCTTTGAGCCCTGCTTATCAAAGCTATTCGCAGCTACTATTGGTTCTCTTCGCTTGCCCCGCCCACCAAAAGTCCGGTCATTCAAACCCGCCTTCCCCGCCCCTTCTAGTGGCTGAGGCGGGGCAACGCAGGGGCGCGACGGAGACAAGCGAGTAGTTTCTACCCAGCAACTAAGTACGTTAGTCAGGAGGCGGTTTGTTATTGGGCAGAACACAGGGGCCGTACCACGGAGCAGAAATTAACCCACTGGGGACAGGGCAGAAAATGATAAAATTACGGGCAAAGAGCAGCAAGGAGGGAAAGGACAAGCGATGGCGAGGGAGAGAAGTCTCTGTTTCCTGCCGATGAGCCTACGGAATGTCATGTTCCATGCAGGAGATTCCTCACCCGCCTGGCTGAGTGCAGTCCTGCGCATGCGAGCCATGGAGCGATTGTCTTCTGGAACGGGACTGCGCTGCTTTTCTCATCGGGCGCGCTGTGTTCTTTCCTGTGGCTGTTTATAACCCGGCCGCAAACCTGAATTTCCCAGTGTCAGTTGGGTCAGCATGTTTAAAAGAACCAGTTTGTGAGGGCTGTGTGCGTCCTGTGTGGAAATTGAGCAGGTTTTCTACTTAGCGTGGGTCAGCATTTGACCTGTTAACACTTTCCTCAGTTCGTAGTTCCTGCTTTGACTATGTTACTGTTGTTTTCCTGGTGAGAGTTAACTTCTAAATAACCAGTTTCCTCGTTGCTTTATTCTCAGTATCTCAGACCTTTGTCCTTTCTTACCTGTGTAGTCTTTAATGCTGCAGGAGGTTGGTTCCTGCAATTATTTGATATTCTTCTTAAAATATTTTTCCTAAGATTTCCTGTGACTATTCTTAAACTATGTTTATCCCCTATTCATAATCTTTAAGCTGATCTCCTGGCTTCCTTAAGCAGCCCAAATAAAACTTCATGGGTTTGGGATGCAGCTGAAGAAGCTGATTGTGCAGCTTCCTGATTTTCCCTTTCCCATCAATTTGAAAGGTCTAACACTGTTAGAAAGCCTATCATTAATAACAAACAACACTTCTCAGGGTATAAACTTTGCTTTGCTATGCTTCAGGTTGTTTACTGTGGAGCAAGGAATCTGCTTACTATGAAAAGCAGTAAGTAAGCTTGGGAAGAAGAGAATAATCAATCATGCATCTGTATTTGGGTTATAATAGTGGACATTCCAAGAGCAGAGCTGGTTGAAAATAAAATTTTCCAAATTTTGTTTTAACCTCTGTCTGCTTAAAAGGCTGCTTTTTTTTTTTTTTTGTCTTTTCTAACATTAATGACCCTTTTTACATGTTTGTAACTATGTGCTATATCTGCCAGATATATAGCCAGGCATGCAAATAGCATAAAAATAGTAAGTACCTTTAGCAAAATCAAAGGAGTCTTTTATGTGCACATAGAAACATTGTTTCTGTGATTAAATTATTAAAGGGTATTCTTTAGTTTGAGTGGGCAGAGGCTTTAATTGTGGATGATGACTGTAGTGAAGTGTAGTGATGGAGTCACTACTAGGGGTTCCTGTAAAAAGGAAAAGAAAAATTAATCCCAGATCATCTTACTGCTTTCACCATTTTCTCTTTCCATTCCTGAATCCTCCATCACATAAACCAGTTGTGTGGTTATTGATGTTCTCCATCACTTACGTCTAAATAGCTTACGGCCTATTTCATCTTTTCCTTCCACTCCATCCTCTGAGAAATTCAACTGTCTCTGTGTTGTTCCATTTTTGCAATCTTTGCATTATCCTTTGTTGTCTATTAGTAATATTGTCCCAGTTTACTGACAGGTCTGTATGTGGAGGCTTTGAGGCACCATTATTATGTACTTGAGATTTATTGATCGTGGCTGTAATGTAGTAGTATCCATCAGCATTTACTGAGGTCTCAAACATCTCTAAAATTTTACACTGGGATCAGTGTAATAGAAGGCATAGATTATGTCGGAAGTGAGATTTTCATTGCTTTTGAAAAATTCTGCTTGGAATCTGGTAATATCCTTTCTGTTGCTAGTTTCCTATGCTACTTACCTTGGTCTTTAGTCCCATTCCCTCATTTCCCACTTACCTCCCCATGCACTTGCACACAGAGCTCTTAACGAGATGTGTCCCCTCTATTTCTGCTACCCTTTTGCCCCACACACTTTCTGCTGCCCACCTCAAAATCAGTCTTTTCCCCTGCCTGACTTCTCATAGGTAAAAGTCGTTCTCTTACCGGCGTTGGCAGTGATACATTAAGGATGAAATTTCTTATCTACACCTTGTAATCCAAGCAGAATTGCAGTCTGCTGTTAGTAGTCCACAGGGGTTGCTGCTGAATAAATTGGAATACTGGTAGCTGTGCTCACTGAAGCTTCTTTCCTCTTGAATATGTGAGAAAGAGAGGGGAAGAGAAACCTTGTGGTTTAAAAAAACCGCCCCCAAAACAATGTTAAAACAACAGCAGAGGATGATGTCCTTACCCTAGAGAAGTGTTTGTTAGGTTAAATCCGGCATTTACCAGCTAAGGAAAAATAGAGGACTCTTTTTTTTTGATTCACACACTGTGTTTCTTCCTCAAATGAAGCAAGATTCCTGTGAGTGGGAAGTGCCCCTTCTCTGATGTGAGCAGGTTGAGTTCCCCTGACAGCCACAAGACCCTGAAATTTGAAGTCACATTCCTTTAGTCAATGGTCACAAAACAGCAGATAAAGTGCACGTGTCTATGTGCAGCTTGCATTTCATCAGGCTACAGAAAGCAGCGGTGGTGGAACTGGAGCTCCAGGAGGATGGAAAGGAATTTTGGAAGCAAAGTAGGGCTTTACAATGAGGATTAAACCAAGGTCAGTCTTTTAGATTTAAGTATAGCTTGTGCTTCAGATTGTCAGGCACTGTGCAGGTCACTTCATTGTCTTCTTCACAACACATACCTGTTAAAAAGTGATTTTTGTGGGACAGAATTTATTAGTATTCCCAGGACTTGGTTTTACAGCTATAGATGCATATAAATGTGAACATTCTGAATACACTCAGAGTTGAGCAGATTACAACCTGTAAGTTGAATGTGCTGCTTAATAGAAGCTACTGAGGAAGTAATGTAGCCTTCCTTGGAGTAAGCAATGCTTCTCAGGAGGGCATTAGTGTTGAGGAAAGGAATTAGACTTTTCTATAAGAAACCTCTTAAATAAAAAGTGTTTCATCATCTCTTTTTTAAAATCTCACGTTACTAAAGGGAAACTGAGGAACAAAACACCACCAGAAATATCTTGCAAATGGATAAATACACAGACTTCATGCAGCTTTTAAAATCTGTATAGATCTGACAGAATTGACTGAGTGTTTACTGACATGTCTGAAGAGCTTTGAAAATGGCAAGAACGGATGTGTAAATTTTATTGTAGCTTTCCATTCTTTACACTTTACCCACGCATTAGAATAAATAGAAACTTCATCTATTTTGAGGGCTACTTCATTTGCCACCCCCAAAAATTGCCTTTTATTTCTCTTCAGAGTGGAGCTATTAGCACAGAAGTATGAATTTGGATGCTTTCTATGTCACTATTGATAACAGCATCATAGTTCCAGGTCTTGAGATTTTGCTCTTTTGTGGTAGGGACTGAGACACAGATAGGAAGGGGTTTTGGCTGAGACTCGGTGCACTGAAATGTAAGATGATTATGGAATGGTTGAATCAGCCAAAGGATTTGTTGGCAGTTACAACAGCGCTTCTGACTGATCTGGCATATCTGTCATTTGTTTCTGATCTACTACACTGGGAAACTGAAAGCTAGAAATTAATGGTAGTTGTGGCATCAGTGAAAAGTGGTAAATCATTAGATATTGGGTAGGTACCTCTACAAGGCTGTAAACTTGGTTTGAGTATGCTAATTGTAGCTGTTATGTCCTCTCTTCTGATGAATATGGCATGAGGGATGGATTTCTCAAGGATACATTCAAATCCACAAGGAGAATTTGGGGGGAATAGTTATTCTGCATATGTCTGGGAAAATCCCTGATTGAATCTTTGTTCTTGCACAAGGAAAAGCTCTGTGAACAAAATATTTATGTAGTTTTTTAGCAATATACTCTAAAGCATTAGGTGTGGGCAGTTGATCAGGGATCTGGAACTTCATACAGCAGGTCTTACTGTTGTATAGATCTCTCTGTGGGGGAGTATTGTGACAGACTGAGGACTTGCTGTGGCCTTGTGTGTGGCTTGAGCCTTTCTCAGCTATTATTGGAGCAATCATTGTCATGCTCTTTTGCACAGTTGTGCATAGGGTGATTGGATGCTGGTAAGTGAGCGTGAAGTATGCTTCTGCATCACAGGGAAGGGGTTAATCTGTCAAATACAGAATATATGAATACATGACATCTTTAAATGAGCTACC